CGTTATATGAACAGATTAAAGGAATTGTAATTTTGAATTTTTTTAAATTGTTGTTTTCGCGCTGAAGACGGCGCACAGAGGATTACTTGCATAGTAAAACCGGTTAAAATTAATTGGTGCATTTTTCTGCTAAGTAATAAAAGAAAAAGCTCCGCATTGATTATTGCGAATGCTAAAGCGAATGCGAATGTTAAAATTAACGCAATATTCTTCAAAGTGGAAAATTTGAAAACTCTCTTTCAAGTAATGCATTCTTTGTTTTTAATAGTTAGCGAGCACAGAAAAAAGTTCAAAGATGTAAGAAAAGGTACAGTTATGAAGATATGGGAATAATTTTTGCTACAATTATCTGCAGTTGCTTATACATATTTATCATTATTTGCCCATGCTCTGACATTCCGTTGGAATTGGTAATTGCTGTTACCATTCCACTTTTTCTTTCAAATTAAAAATTGTTTGTGTATGTTTTTAAACCTTCATTGAATAACTTTTTATGTGTTATAGCGATTATTGCAATAAAAATTATATAATTGATATAAAGTCGATACATTAACGTTTATTTCGATTACATAACATAAAGCATTATACCACTTTTCGAGCTGGATTAAAATAAATTCCACCATGCCTAAGAATCTATGCAAAAGGTGGCCCAACTAACCCCAGAAGGTAAATAAGTTGTTTAACTCTAACAAATTATGAGTGCGGATGTTTTTTTTGTTGTATTATACTTTCTGAAGGTGTGCTATAGGTTCTTCAGCTCAAAAAGTAATTGGGATCATTAGTTATCGACTAACTAATTTTAGCTAGATAGCCATTAATTATTTATTAACATCAACAATTTTTTTTTGCAAAATTTTACATTAGTCGATTTAATGGTCTTTAACAATGGCATGTGCGAAATGTCAGCTCAATATTTGTGGTAAATAGACGATATTTTTGACGAAGATGTATTTCAGGTGCGCGACTTGGTAAAAATTGAAAGTCGCATTGAGCAACCCCTAAACGACCACCGATTTCTCTAAAATTTTCAGCATCATGTTTTTTCTTGATGCTTTCAAAGATTCTGATGCATCGCACACAAATTTCGAAAAATCGTTTTTTTTTTTGAATCAGTCTAATGTACATACGTATGTTTGTATGCATGGATATATGTATGTAGTACAAACGAAGACAAATCTAATCAGCCAAAGCGAATTTATACAAGGCGGTGTTGGCAGAACAAAAACAAAAAATTACAATAAAGCTCACTATACAGTTCAATGTGAGCGTGGACCATTGTGTACAAATACAAGTGAGATATCTTAGCAATAGACGTCATCCTGGGCCACAGCTGCGATCATCTGTTTTTTAGAGTTGCTTATTTTGGTCAAAACTGTGCCTTTTTGACCTGAGTTGCATTAAATAGTTTTATAAAACTTAGTACTATTTGTTGTTCAAATGGTAACATACATGCCCAAAAACTTGGAAAATATTAGATAATTGATTTTAAAAAATGCTATTTGTAAAATTTCCTTTTGATTTCGGCTTTAGAAATATTCATATTATAAAAGTTATTCACATATGTTTTAAGATTTTAAAGTTTTTAAAAAGTACGGTAGAATGACACAAAGTGCTTGAATTTGTTTGCATCTTCGTCAGCTTGTTCGTTTGCAGACTGGAAAAATTGCGAACGGCTATCAAAATACTGATCCAAAATATACATCTTTCATTGGACACAAATTGGGTGTGCGCAGCAAAATTCAGCCCTAATGGCTAGTTAATTGCATCGTGCGGCGACAAGTTAAGAATTTGCGATACATCTTCAGGCGAATGTGTGCGAACGTTCAGCCGGGAAGAGGTATGGGACGACAGCTGGCATGGCATCCAGACGGTAATCTGGTGGCTTTAGCTTTAAGTTGTAACCGTGTTAAGATATTTGACATAGCCGAAGGCGAGCTAATACAGTTGTATCAAGTGTATTCGCCGCCGGAGAATGATGTTGCATTTCACCCAGGTGGAAATTTCTTGGAAACTGGCGGCGATGACGATACAATAACATTGCTTGATTTATTAGAAGGTCGACCAATTTATACACGGTAGTAGTGCACTTTAGCGGAACCAGGTCAAAATGGACGGGAAAATTATACACTAACTAGCCATACTGACAAAGTTTGCGCCGTCGCTTTCTCCACATGGTAGACATTTTGCTTCCGCGGGCGAGGATCGACAGGTAATTTTAGTCATGCAACAGCTCCACATAACTCCGCCATAGACACACCAGTTGCTGGAGTACTAAAAAGCTGTGATGACAGTATTTAAATTGATCAACGACAATCGGTGGCATATGGAATGCGTGATGGAAATTTTCTGGTGCTTGATAGCCAATATACTACAAGAGTGAAACGCTGAGACAGTAATTTTTCTTAAATTTCCAGATTTTATTGGCAGTTACATTAAGAAGCTAATAGAGGGCAGAGCTGTTGGTGAGGAAGGTGTCGAGTTACTGCAGTACTGCAACTGGGAAAATCCACATTTCGCACGTGCCCCACTCGTATGGAATAGTAGCTTATGTCAAAATGTGGTTTTAGTATAATGCGGCATCGCAGCATACCCTCACTGGCACCGAGCCGTTGAAGAAATTTTGGCAAATGAACGTGCAAGAAATAGTTCCGATACTAGCAAGTCCATATTCTTGTTAAGGGTCATCGAAAAATTCCTTGTGTTGTAAATAATAAAGGGAGTGCCGGATTATACTAAAGCCAGCTTCCCGACATACTATTCCATACAAACACAGAAATATAAATGTATCTAAAACTGAATGACTCAAATCAAATTGGATTGCATTTGCATAATATACCTAATATTGGAATCTGTTTTGATCGCAAAAAATACAACTTGCAATCATTTAGATTATAGTTTTGAAAGAAATTGATTGCAATCGTAA